ATATACATATATAATAATTATTATTTATTATATATATATATATATATATATATATATACTATATAATTTTAATTTTTATTATTGAATATAATTTAAAATAAATATCTAAAACATATCAATTATTATTATCTACAGAAGGATTTTCATCAAGAAGTAGCAAAGAGCCAGTAGTTTTACCCACTGCTCCAAGAGCTGCAAGAGGTCCTCGTGTTGCAGATGAGGATATTCCTACTAATCCACCTTATGTAGCATATCTTTCAAATCTACCATATGAAGTGGATGAAACATATTTAACAGAATTTTTTGCAAATATGAAGGTTAGTATCTTAACACAATTTTTTTTTATTAAATATTAATAAATCATTCACTTTATGCTATTTTATGCTAATTTAAATTATCACTTTCTTTAGATTTCTAATATACGTTTGCCTAAAGATTCTAACAAACTTAAAGGATATGGATACGTTGAATTTGAAGATCGTCAAAGTTTGATTGATGCACTTTGTTTATCTAATACAGTAAGTTTAAAAACTTATATTTATAATCTGAAATAATTTACATTAAAATAACTACTTATGAATTATTGTAAAATATTGCTTAGCCTATGAAGACAAGAAGAGTACGAATTGATATTTCAAATAGTGTTAATGATGATCGTCGTGGAAGTCGAATGAGTCGTGATAATCGTAGAGATACTTATGATGATCCTGAACGTACATCTGGAGACTGGAGAAGTGGTCCACGAGACGAAAATTTGACATCAGAAGGAGATTCATATCGAAGTCGATATGATAATAGAGATCGAAGAGATGATCGTGAAAGTATGTTTATATTATATTAATTCTCGCATGTATTTATAATTCATCTAGATAGAAAAATTAAAATTAATGTATTTCTTATCTAGATTCTGATTATGATAATAAACCTGGTGCATGGCGTGAAAGTAGTGACAGAGGAAGACCAACATTTAGAGATAGAGGTGGCTTTAGAGATGAGGATAGAGATAGAGATTGGCCTCGTTATGATAGGGATAGTAGAGATCGAGATGGTGGAGATAGAGGAAGTAGTTTTGGTCCGCGTCGTAATTATGGAGATTCTGATTGGGATCGTGATAGTCAACGTAGACAAGGAAAGCCCCCTACAGAAAATAAACGTAGGTATTACTTATAATTTAGTCAATAAAATATATAAAAAATTTCTTTCAATTATTATAGCTGAACCAAGAACTAGGCCAAAATTACAACTTCAGCCTCGTACAAAGCCTATTGATCCTATTATTATAAAAGAAGAACAACAATCTGCAGCTCAAACTGCTGCTACACCTGCTTCATCAACAAATATATTTGGTGCTGCAAAACCTGTAGATACCACTGCCAGAGAAAGAGAAATAGAGGAACGTCTTGCAAAATCATATGCTGAATCAAAATCCAAAGAAGAGGGGTACAAGAAACATTGTTTATATTTTTAAATCAATTAATTTTAAGATATTTAACAATTATTTTTTTTGTAGAGATTCAGAAAAACGTGGTTCTAGAGAAGGTACATGGGGTAAACGTAATGGAGTAAGTATATCAATAATTAAAATTTTATGATATATGTCGTATTATTTCATTTATTATATATTATTCTTATTAGGAGGGTCGCGAAGAAAGAGAAAGGGGTCGACAAACTTGGCGATCGGAAGACGACAGAAGTCGACGAAACGAAAGATCGGCACCACGAAATCATCCTGTTCATTCTGGTAAATTTGATTTAATATAATTATAAATAAATAAATCTAAAATAATTTATATCATATACTTAAGATTTTTTAATCATTTAGATCAATATGGAGATTCTAAAGGTCAGCCTTCTTCTCGTGGTGGACGACCATCTTCAAGAGGTCCTCCACGATCAAATGATACTCGTGGTGGAGATAGGTAATAGTCGAATGAAAATACTATTTAAAAATAAATTTATGTTATAATTGCATTATATTTACAGAGACCGAAGAGATAGAGAAAAAGACGATATTAGTAGGATGCCAAAGGCAAAAGATGAACAAGCTCCAGTAAGTGGAAAAATCTTTTTAATTAATTTTAATTCCAATAATTGTAAATGATCACTTTCTATTTCAGAATTTCGTAGCTTCCAACAAGTATTCTATGCTACCTGATGATGTGGATCCTGACAATATTGATGATTAGTCCTAATCATTATCATCCATTAAATTGTGCCACATGCATCATAATTAGTCTATATATGCATATTATTAATTTGTTTTACCTCTATTAAATACTTATCGAATTGATTCACGAATCAAACTCTAAGCTCTTGGTATTATTTTACAGGAATTATTGTTGATTTATATTTAATCTATTTTATTACTCGTAATATAATTATCTATCTACATATGTATTTACTTTATATTTCAATATGAATGTTCAGCATCATTAAATCGATGTGAAAATTCAGATAACTTTAACGAATTATATTGATTTCTTTAATATTTAATTTTGAAGATAATTACATCTGTAAGACTTAGGAATTGGGACTTTATACATCATACTTTATTCACTGTACAGTTATTGTACAATATGTAACTCATTTACATGTAAAATAATAATGCAAATTTAGGAGGAAAACAATTAAAATAATAAGTGTAATGGGAATTTAAATGATGTATTACATTCTATTGCCTGAAATTCAAATGAAATTGTTAATAATTATGAAAAAAAATGATAGTAAATATCAAAAAATTGATATCATAAGCACAATAAACTATAAGACGACATAGTACGAAAATCAATATGCATGTTAATAATCATTATATCGTGATAATAAGGAATCATATGTGATTGATAAATCGAAATTTTGTCATAATTATTTTATTAATAATATGTTTTTAAATATGCTTTATATATTAAAAATTATATATTTACAATCTCTTTGAGGTATGTACATGACTTTAATTTCATTGCTGTTGTGTCGTTTGTGCTAATTGACGTAATTGTTTTAATACAGTTTCTAAAAGCTTTTTCTTATCTCGTTCACTTTTCTTTAATACAGAAAATACTGTTTTTTTATCGGATTCTTTTAATCTGTAAGTATAATATTTTTAAGATGTAGATAATGACAATAGTGTATTATTTCACATAAAAAAATATAATACGTACTTCTCTAATAAAAGTACAGCCATATTTGGAGTTACTAAATGATATTTACTTGATTCATGGCCATAGTCATGAAAATAAGTAGGCCAGTCCCAACTCATAAATAAGTCCAATAATTGTCTTAATTGTGCAAAATGTTGGAGTAAGGTACCTTCGGGTAAACCAGAAACAGGTTCCGAGGCAGCAAATTCTAAAAATTAAAAAATCTTTTTAGAATAGTATATTCGAATCAATTTAAATCGCCACAAAATATTTTGTAACCGTATGTTGTACGTTTTATTTAAGAATAAAAAAAAAAATACATACGCTCACATTGTATTGTATCTAAATTGACTTGTTGAAGAGCACCCATAGATATTTGTTTTACATCTTCACTAACTAATATTCCTAATATAGATTTTGCTATATGAGAACAGGCAGATTCACACGCTACTTGTGCAACTTCATCCTGAAATATATTATTTATTTTAATATCTATAAAATAAAAAATATAAAATTCTGTAAATTAATAATATACGCAATACCGGTAAATTAGTAAAACATGTAAAGGTGCTTTGCAGAAATGCTATGAGATCAGTAATAAAACCAGATGCGTGTCCTTGAGGTTCTGCTAAATTCCAATCATAGTTTTCCAATTCTAAAAATTCATCAAGTTTATTTTTTAATTTTTCACATATTTGTTTTTCAGCATCATCTCTTGCAACTCTAAACATAGCTGATTCAACATCCATACAACTCAATTGTCCTTCATGTGGTGTTCTGTAAAAGTATATATTTATTCATATTATAAAAAAATACTTTTTAAATAATTTATTTACTTATCCTACCCTGTAATATTAGACACAAATTCTTCCAAATATTTAGTTGATTTTTCAAGATAACCAGTATTTATTATAATTTGAACTACTTGTAAAAGTGCCAATGATGGTTTTCGAAATAATGATGATAAACATCCACTAAATGTTCTTGTTAATAATAAATTTGTTGATTTACAAATCATTTCATCTATTTCTGTTTGAGTGAAATTCAAATCTTCGGAAAATTTCAAGCAAGCATAAATGAATTCTTTTACTTGTTGATAAACTTTTGGTACCATATCCGAAAATGGAAATTTTTTAGGAAATTCTATTTTTTGTAATTCCTCATCATGGTAAGGAAACAAATCAAGAACATTATCATATTCTTCTTGTGTTGTGACCTAAAATATATATATATAAAATATTATTGTAAATAATATAACAAAACCTTCTATAATATATAAAAATATACATGAATTGGTAAAAAACTGTCTTCATCTAAAATATCTCTAAACACTTGAACCCAATGTTGCATTAGAACTTCATTATAATGTACTCGAATTTCTTGTAATAAATCCCAAAGTTGACCTACTGAATATCCATAATTCTGTTTTCAAAAAGAAAAAATAATAAAAATTATATATTATATTATAATTTTATAATTAATAATAAATTTATAATATTATAAATTACTTACTCTTAATGTTGTATTAAATAGCATTATAAGATTTTTTATTTTTAGAATAAGTGTCGCATCTGTGCAGTAGGCCTAAAAAAATATCTTTTTAATATAGTATATTATAATTTAAATATTTAATATTTAAAATATTTAAAATATTTTATCATATTTTATTAAACTTATTAAAAATTATTAAGATATCCTTATTACTTACGGAATGGGTACGTAATGCATTTACGATTTTCGATAGTGCCATTTGCCATAATTCGTCTAAATAAGTGCGTGTTGCTAAGCCATTACCGGTATTTAAAATATGATCTTCTACTACGAAAAATCCTACAATGCCTTGTAAGTATGTTTGATAACCATTTATACTTTCATGCTGAAAACAATATATATCAAAAGAACAAAAATTTAAGATACAGAAAATATTTTTGTGAAAATTAATATTTACCATATTAATAGGCGGTTGTAAAACTAATCTAGCTTGCTGTTTTCTTTGTTGCCTATAATATGCTTTAAATGTCTCTCCTTCACGAAGTACTGTATAAATATGCATACAACGATAAACGGGACTAAAATCCATTAAGTCTTGAGCGCTTAATTCTTCTTCTGATTCATTTGAATTTGTTATATGTGATCTTTTTTTTTTTCGACCAATAATTTCTGCTTCAACAGTTAATTGCTCTTGTGTCTAAAAGTAAAAGACAACATATTGTATATATAAAAATTAAATTTTCAAGACGACCATAAGTGCTCTTAAATTTATTTGATAATGGATTATATATTAGGTTTATATACAACTTTACACGAAATTTTGATCCTGTATTTTAACTGAGAAAAATTTGAATAATAAATTTAAATTTACATATTTTTCCTATTTAAAGAAAATTTTGAAAAATCTGATACATTATAAAATCAAACTTATATTACAAAATTTTTTCAGATTTTTTCATTTTAAATCTTTTAGATGCAAACAGATTAAAAAAGTAAAAAACTTTTAAATATATAAATTTCATATAAATTCTAAAGCAAGTACTTTTATTTTTGCAATTATTGACATAAAACATTTTCAAATATTTCATATTATTTTAAATATATTATAATAAATTCAAAATTCATTTTTTGTGATATTTTATGCAAAGAATTAACTTTTTAAATATTTCCTTTATTATATATTATGAGATTTTAAATATTTTTACATTAAAACAATAAATTAAAGAATATAAATTAATTCCATTAATTAAAAATAAATTTAAAAAAAATTTATAAATATATAAGTTTTAATAATATATATAAGTCAGAATTTTTTCAGATTTTTCATAAAACATTTTTTTAAAAATTTTTTTAAATTTCTGAGTTACAGGATTGAAATTTGAATGTACAATATTTTCTCAGTAACTCTCATCATATATATATCAATAATCATATAATTCATTACTAAATAAATTTAAGTCAAGGACATTTATTTTTCTTAATTTCTATTTTCTTTCTTACTTACATGTTTCATAGCGACTTCACCAATTTTTGGTGAATATTTTCTAATATTTTCTAAAAAGTCTCTTAAATCAGACATGGAAGCATCCTTTATATTTTCACGTAGTCTAAAATTATTGTAATCTGTCAATCACTTAATGTCACTTAATATGTCTGTGTAAATTATTCTCTAGTTACATTCTGCTGTAAAAATAAATAGTTTTTTATCTTACGACACTACTCACTGCGGAATTTGTTGAGTAATTTGTGAAGAAAATCTGTAATTTGTTACTTTTGGTAAATCATGATGTTCTAGCTGTTCCAATGTCTTTAAAGCTGGATAAAATCGTTTATCTTTTAATTGTTTTTGTAATTTTGCATAAGCAGCTAAAACAGGAAGACACATAGTGAGACTATCTACTGCTGCAGCCATATTACTTTCTACTTTACGTGCTTTAACAAGCTCTTCTCCTTTTTCTATTACTTTGGTGGCAGTGGCAGTGATGCGTTTATCAAGTTCCAATATCTCAGCCTATAAAAAAATATTTTGTTATCATACATTTTTATATGTAGAAAATTAATTTTATGTAGAAAATTAATTTTAAGCTATAGACTAACATTAAGCTGTTGTGCTTGAGAACGAACTTGTAATAGCTCTCTAATTGAATCAATGAAACCTTGATAATGATGATTGCACATTCTTTCAATATCTTTATCATGTGCTTTAATGCGTTCATCAAGCTTTTCCATAAATTTTTGATGTTCATGGCCATCATAAATTGCTCTAAAAAGGAAATAATAATAAGAATAATAATGATTGATTTTTGTTTTTTTCTGAAATTTTTTTTCCAATAAATGTCTAATAATAATAATACCTGAAAACAAGGCCTATACTATTAGTATCTGTAGATTCTATTTCATATAAAAGATATTCGTGTTTTGGAACCATAGTTGACAATAGATTGTCAACTTGATTAGTTGACAATCTTGACATAATAGAGCCCTAATTAAATTTTTCTTTATTCTTTTACGGGGGTGCTCACCCCCTTTTCAACCCTTCTGCGCATATGCATGATAAATGTCGCATCTGCGTGAAGGGATAATATTCCAAAAGCGCGTCTTTTAACAACGTTTTTAATAAAAGAAAACAGTTTAATTAAACTTACCGAAAAGTTGGACCCAAATAATCATCTATGCCTTCTATCTCTTGAATAAGAATATCGTATCGTTGCATTTTTATTAAACTCAACTTGACGATTCAAATGAAATGTCAAAAATTTTGGCAAATAAATTTATACAGCTTTATATTAATAACATCAGGTAACTTCCATTTGTTGGATAACAATAAATTATATCAATAAACAAAATAAAATTCTTAATTTAATTATGACATTTTCGTTATGAAAGTTATGGTTATCCCAATAAAATTGTCAATATCGTTTAAACTGCCATCTTCATATAACTATAGTATTACTCTATCTATCTTTTATATATTATGCATACGCGTTATTATATGATGCAGTTAGCAAATTTAACGGTATACGATATTTTAAATTAAAATATTAAATAAATTTTTTATATCAATCATTTATTATAAATTTATATTTAATTCTATAATTTCAATTATATTTACATTATTAAATTATTATGAAAATGGATTTTTTGAAGCAGTTTTTGGTTATTTAACCAATAATTTATTAAATCAATAGTCAATTGTTTAGAATGTTTAGAATATTTAAAAATATTTTTATTGTTGCAAAATGTAATATTTATTTTACAAGAAAAGTTAAAATATCATGAAGCTGTTAAAAATTTTAACTAATTATTGTTTTGTTATATATTTATATTATTTTCGATATAATTAGCAGCATCAAAAAGTATGAGTATGATTTATTCAGGTAAATTGTTCTATACAAATAAAATATAATGAGAGATTTCATCTATTTAAATGTTAAAATAATTTACTTAGAAATAATTATTGCATACTTTATCAAGAGAAAAGTTTCAAATGAGAGAAATCTTCCATTCATATTGTATATTCTCCTAAAATAAATTAATTTATCCGAGCAGACTGTACGTGCATTTGGCGTCTGGGTTGGAGACGCCAAGACGTCGGATGCAGTTTCTGTGCACTGTGAACCCCGGTTGATTCTTCCCTATTGATTGTATGTAACAGCGTACTGAATATTCTTTTTCTACTCAATTTTTCGAAAAATTTAGTTAAGAATTGAAAATTATAAGGGAAAGTACAAGTAAGTACATCGATGTGAAGTTAATAACTATCTGTGAAAACATTGGCGCGCAAGCCTTTGATATGTTACTATTCAAGATTTGTTTTATAGCTTATAAAGAATCCATTGTGAAAATTTATTATCTTAATACATCGAATTATATCATTTTATTAACAATTTTAATAATGAAATAAAATTAAAATATATAGTACACTATTTGTACTCCTTTTGTATTATATATATTAACAAATTTCTCTAAGTGTAAAAAGAGTTTTGTGTACCTCTGAATTTTTAGGTAAAAAATGACACCAGAAGGATATACGCGTGTTTATGTCGGTGGATTAAATGAAAGTATAAAAAAAGAAGATCTTCAAACAGAATTTGAAAAGTATGGCAAGCTAAACAAAGTTTGGGTAGCATTTAACCCGCCAGGTTTTGCATTTATTGAATTTTTAAATATGAATGAAGCAGAACTTGCTTGCAGCAGTATGAATGGTACAGAGATTATGGGTGCAAAATTAAGGGTTGAAATTTCACGGGGTAGGGGTCGTGGCGGAGGCAGGGGTGGTATGGGAGGATTCAGAGGAAATCGAGGAGGTGCAGCTAGGGGTTATGGTTCTGCTGCCTCTATTGCATTCAATTATAGAGGAAATAATATGTATGCAGATTATGGAGGTTATTATGCAGGCAAGGGTGGTGGAAGTAGAAGTAGAGACTATTATGGAGAAGATTATATGACTAATCGTGCCAGTGGGTATGTTACTCGAGATGGATATACACAGGATGTCTATAATAGTGGAGATCCAAATGCTGATTATTATAACAACAAAGGCACTGGTACATCAAGGTATCGAAGTCGTTCCCCAGCTGGTCGTGGCAGGTATTAATAATACCCAGTCCTTGTAAAGTGATTTTAAGTTGTATTGTACTTACATGAATTCTATGAAATTAGTTTCTTAAATGAATTGTTCAAAGACATAATAGTAACAATTGATTTGTCTATACTATCAATGAAAACAAATTTAATCATATTTAAACAAACATAAAGAATTTAAGTTTATTATACAAATATATTGTTAGGTAGATGAATATTCAGTATTTAAATATTAGATTTACGTTCAGATTTAAATCATTGATTTTTAGCACAAAAAAGTATTTATATGTATTAAAGAAAAAAGCATGATAATATTACCAATTGGCACTGAATAAATTTATTGCATGAGCAGATATATTGTGCAATATATACTAGAAAAATATACTTTCAATTAATGAAAGATATTCGCCAAATAAAGGCGAAAATTATGTGACATTCTATTTTGCACTTCCATGTTCACAGTCATCGTCATCTTCGTGAATGCACATAAAAGATCTACACTGCATTGCCAATCTGAACTGCGGGCCAATCAACAGCCCATCCTGATGACTACATTTCTATCCAATCTACGCAGCGACCTGTATATAGACAAGAACTACCATTGCAGATCAAGTTGTGCAATACCATTTGTATAGTATACTTTAGTTCTACAGTTTGTAATCGTTTTCAGAAACATTATTCATTATTCACAAACAAAATCATTGCAAACTTTATATAACATGAAAATGAATCATGAACAAAATTTGAAGCTATATGAATAGTAGTCTAAAGTATTTATATATACAATTTCTATTTTATTTAAATCTGGGGTATTACATATATTTTATAGTTTCAAATAATTTTTTTACATATTATTATTATTATTATTATTATTATTATTATTATTATTATTATTATTATTACTATTATTATTATTATTATTTTTTGTGTACTTTTTTAAGTTTCTTATTATAGAATTGAAGAAAATATAGCTAAAAAAATTTAACATATATTATAAAAAGATAAAATCATTCATAATTAATTTTTGTTGTTATTAACATTTAATATTAATTGTCTATAATTTTTTATTATTTATTATAGACATGTTCATTATTGATTAATGAGTAATAATAATATTATTATAAAAAATGGAAAATTACAAGGAAAATGCCAATTTTAGCCAAATGCACACTACTGCTCGTATATATTGAACTGTGCAATTTTGCCTTACGAATTTTTATATGGCTTGCAAAATCAAAGTTTAAGAAGCTGCAAAATTGATTTATTATAGATAATTCAAACTATGGCCTTGGAATATATGTGCAGAAATAGTATTGCATTTGGAAACTTTGGAGTATTTATTGTTATGAATACTCAGGTGAAAGAAGGAAATTGTGGTAATAATGTTTGCCATTACTGTAAATGATATGAAATTGAATATCAATTAAATGATTTGCTCTCACTACTATCCGCCACCCTGCTTGCCTGCTTGCCTACTTTTTTAGAATTTTGAATATTTATTGATTTCTTATTTGAATTGATAAAAAAATTTGAAAATATTTTGCAATAATCGCAATGTTTAAACATCATTGGTATATTGTTCAAAGTTTATATATAATTAATAGGTAGTAATTCGTATTCTAATGAATACATGAAAAAAATGTTTAAATGATGATTTTTATACATTTTTATATCCTGTCAATAATTTCGGTAATATTTAGGATATTAACGTAAGTATTACAATATAAATACAAAAAAAAAATTTAAAAATCTTAAAAATAAAAGATATTAACATTAACAATATAATAATATAATAATATAATAATATATAAATCAAATAACAAATATAACTTAAAATGAATTTAATTATATTATTTTTTCATATTAACTGTTAACATTAATGATAATTTGTTATAAAAACTAATAAATGCAAATCATTTATTCGTATATACATTTTTGAATTTAATATTATTTTATATTAACTAATAAATTCGATCTACGTTCAGTATTTTGAAATAGCGCTCTAATTAATTGTTTGACTTGGGATGCTGTAAATTCTCGTGCTAGTGGTCCTTTACCGCTATCCCATCTAACTTCGATTTCTTTAAGTGATGCACCCAATATTTGAATTAATTCTAAAAATTTTTCCCATTTTTTAACATATTGATAAATCTTTTGATGATCCTAAAAGTATAATGTTTTTAATATTATCTTCAAAAAGTATTATCCAATTTAATTTTATAGGAATTTTTCTGTGACATTATGTATGTAAAATTAAAATAATGTTTTAATTTTAAATTAATTTTAATGTAATTTTTTATATGGATTAAATTAATGAAAGTTTTTATTTAATAAAAGAAATTAAGAAAGAATTAATAAAAAAAATTATATTTTTTTGTAAACTTACCGGAAATATTTGTGGTGCACGCTTAACAATTAAATTAAATAATGTTATTAATTCAGTTGCAACATCAGCAGGAATGTCTTCAACAGATAGTACTCTGATTATTAAATCTTCGATCATTGAATTCATAATGCATCCTAAAATATGAAATTATCACTTAATTAAATATTGAAAAATATAAAATAAAAAATATGAACTGACCTACAGCTCTACAATAAATATTCTCAGGTAATACGTCTAACCAAACTGTTTTCAATAATTCCAATTGTCTATTACATTGTCTCATTGCACGTTCAGTATTAGGATGCAATTCAGAAGTTTGACCCAATGCAGATAAACCTTATTTAAAATAAAATATTTAAATTATTAATTAAAAAATATTAAAAAAATATATTAAAATATATAAATCAATACTAACCAGATTCTTTAAGAATATCAAAAATAATATTTCGTTGATATTTCATATGTTCTAAAAAACATGATGATCCAACATCTCTTAATACTAATACTTGATCCGCAAAAGTTAAATTAAGATTTTGTAAGGATTTCGGTAATTTATCTTTATATTCGTATCCTAATGTGAGAAGATGATGTGCGAGATACATGCAATTGTTATGAAACATGGCTAAATAAAACATACATATGATTAAAATAAAAAAAATATTTTCTTTGTTTAGATATTCTATCTATTAAATTATTTGTTTCTTACCAACTTGCTGCGGTATCGTTTCTAAAAATTTTCGGTGATGCTCTGGTACTAATCCTGCATACATTTCAAAAAAGTTTCTACATGTATAAAATAACTGTATCGCACACGTATCCGAACTACAACAAGCTTCGTCCAAGATATTTCTTGCGAGATCTAATATTTCTTTTGCATTTTTACTAAAATATAATTTGAGATATAAATTTTTTTTAACTTATTAAGAAATATTCAAATAATTTTGATACCTTATTTGACATTTTGGAAGCTGAAAAGTATTGTCATTAATTTTTTTATTAACTTTTATCTCATTATAATCATCTGTATCTTCTAGAAATTCAAGTGGTTCCTAAAATTTGAAATTAATAAAAATTTGTATCAAATTTGCATATTTTATTGTAATATAAATAAACTTGCCTGTGGTTCATATATAATAGAATCATGTAAATCTTTCTTCATAATATTTCGTGCTTTTGCTAATAAATCTTGACAAATTTTTTTTACAAACAGCTTATCAATATCCTTTGTATATTCTGATAAAAAAAGTTGATCACTTGTAATAAAGCCTAAAATATTGAACATTGATTGTTATAATTATATTTAATTTTAAAAAAATGAAAAAAAAACTTACAAATTTCCTACCAATTTTGACCAAGAAGTATTGGAAATCATTAATTGCTTGGACAATGGGTGTGAAGTTTTTTAAATCAGCGCTTGATGTTGGTGTAATTTGTGAGATACAATCATTCTTTAATGAAGTTGACAATTGTTCAAGCAAATGAGGTTGTATTTTTTTCAGGAATGTTTCATCATCATAAATTGTAAATTGAAAATGCTGATGAAGAAACTTAAACAATAATTCCAAGTTATATAATACACTTTTATAACCAGATGATTTGTTCTTTTTAAATATTTCAACTGTGAAAACTTTCTCATCAATTACATATACAGAACAATCATCATTAATGATTGGATTAATTATATAATCCATAAGTGTCATTGAGAATTTATGTAAATGATTTGAGAGATTATCAATATGATGCAAACTTTGAATTAAATCTTGTATATCGTCGAATTCATTTTTTACATTTAATGTAATAGCTTTTGCATTTTGATCATCAATACCTGTCCAACAAATTCGTTCATGTAATAATGACGATGTATCAGATAAAAAAGATGTATAAAGATTTAAATATTCTTCTTCAATCGCTGTATAAATATCAAGATCACATAAATCAGTTTCTGAATTGTACAAAATAGTTTGCATGTGACATAATGTTTTGGCTACTTTCACATATAGTTTTTCTTCTTGATAATTTTTAATGGATTTAATACATTCATGTAAATTTAAAAGCTGATTAGAAAGTTGTAACATAATATTTGATTCTTTTAATGCTTGAGAAAGAGTTTTTAATTCTTTTGTGGAACCAGATAATTCTATTTTGACCTAGAATAAATAATATAACATGATATAACTTATATTTTAATAATTTATATTTTATATTTTTAATATTATATTTTATTAAACATACATGATCATCTATTCTCTTTTGCAATGCATTCATTTCTTCAAGTAATTTTTCTCCTTTTAATACCAAATGCTGATCTCTTGTAAGTTTTGATGTAAATTCAACATAATTATCATCCATGAAATCTTTGACATCATATTTTAATTTTGTTATTTCTTTCTGTATTTCTGATATCTTTTCATGTAAATTAACTTTCTCTAATTTTCCTAATAAAAAAAACAAAAAAATTTTAATTTTTATAAAACATATATTTTTTATTTTTGAAATGTAAATAAAAATCATAACTATTCATTTAAGAATATGTACAAATTAATGATATATTTTTTTATATATATATTTAAAATTTTTCGTAATCAATTTTATATTTTATATTTTTCATATTAGTAATATTATATTAGTAATGTTATAAATAATTAGTATGATTACATTTGATTATATTATATATTACATTTTGTATACATACCTGCTGTAATTAATACATCAGTTAAAAATGATGTCATATTGATAAAATTTTTTTCAAATATTTAGATTATTAAAATTAAAGATTAGCTAATTGTTTCACTATTAACTTAATATTAAATATAACTATCTAATTTGTATAATATTATACAGTCATATAATATTTATACAGTCATAAATTGCAAAAAAATAGAATTACTTGCACTGCATTGATTTATATATGTTAAATTAATGCAGCTGATGATAATGCATTACCATAGACTATAGAATATATAGATATAAAATAGATTTATCACTTATCATCTAATGACATATTGTTGTATCAGTTATACAGCTTGTAAATAAAAATAAAAAAAATATATATAGAAATATATATTATAAATATATATTATTATATATATATTATATATATAAAATAAATTACATATAAAAATATAAAAATTATTATTATAGATATATAATCTAAATTTTATATGTAAATTATATTATATATTATATATTTAAATTTATTTATATATATATAATTATAATATTAATATTAATGCAACATAAACAAAAAATCGATAATTTTATGAAAATGTTTTTATAAAATAAAATTTCATAAAAAAAATAAAAAAAAATAAATAAAATATGTTAATAAAATTTTCTAAGGCACATAAATTTTACAAAATAAA